AAATGCCATCGGAAAACGAATCCACATGTTTCTAGAAATGATATGAAATCTAGAAAGGTTAATGCAGTCAAGCTGCTGGAAAATAATTTCATGAAAATCAAAAAATAAATAGATAAGTACTCCTTGATCATTGATCATTACCATATTGATTTCAATTTAAGAGCCACCGGTATACAGCTGTTTTAGCCTATTGGGCATCGTCAGTACCGGGCAGGCGATCCTCGATTGAAGACATAATGAGAAGAAACCAAAAAAGTACTTGAAAAAAATAGCTGCGTAAACGCAAGCAAAACCGCTCCGCGAGCAAAACCGCTCCCTCCCCTCTTCACGGACGGTGCGGCATCTGCTACTCCCCCGCCGAGAAGGCGTTGGCCTTTGCAGACACAATGGAGAGTCAGTTCCAACTTGACGTTGATCCGGATGATGATATTGACCGTGATATCCGGCTGGACCAGCGCGTTCGGCGCAAAATGATGACGACGCGATCCGTCCAGCTTCGGAGGAAGAACTGAGGGGGTACATTAGGGCCTCTGAACCCAAGAAGGCTCCGGGAATTGATTCAATCAACAATAGGTTGTTAAAGCAGCTCCTGGAGAACTTCATCAGATACCTACTGGACATAATCAATAGTTCAATCGCCCTCAGATACTTCCCCCGAAGATGGAAGCATGCCGTAGTCGTCATGATTCCGAAACAGGGCCAGAACCCACTGTTTCCCCAGAATCATCGTCCGATGAGTCTGCTTTGCTCAACGGCTGAGTTAGCTGAACGTGTTGTGGTGCAAAGGTTGACCGAAGAAGTTGAAGACCGAAATGTTCTGCCTGATGAACAATTCGGCTTCAGGAGGGCACACTCCACCGAGCTGCAGGCACTGAGACTGATCGAAAATTTCATCGCAGTGCTAAACAATAGGAAGACAGTTCATCTCGTCCTCCTGGACATTTCGAAATCCGGTGGTTTAGGTTCTTTCTGAATGGCAGAACATTTCAGGACCGAGTTGAAGGAACTCTGTGTTCCGTCAGGGAAATCCAAGCTGGAGTGCCCCAAGGAGCTGTGCTGTGTCCACTACTGTACAGCCTTTACGTGAGCGACCTTCCGAGGTTCGACCACGTGAAGGTTTCTCTTTACGTCGATGATACGGCTCTCTTTGCTTCTTTCATGGGTCGAGGGTTGTCGGTTGTCTACATGTAACGCGCATTGGACGACCTCGAACGCTGGTACCTGGAATGGAAGATTCGGGTGAATCCAGAAAAAACTCAGGCGATAGATTTGGGGAGACGTAACATTTCTCCAGACACATGAGTCACGATTTCTGGCAGGGAAATCAAATGACAAACGCGAGTAAAATACCTACCTAGTTCTTTGGATAAACCGCCAACTCACCTGAGTAAATCACATCGATCATGTCAAGAGCAGAGTACAAATGGGGATAGTCAAACACTATCCTCTGATCAACAGAAATTCCAAGCTCAATCTCAAAAATAAGATTTTGTTATACAATACGATGTTCCAGCCTGTCATTATGTATGCTTCAGGCGCTTGGGGACAAACCGTTTTGTCAAACCTCTCCATTTTCAAAAGGTTGCAGAACAAACTAATCAGGATGCTGGTGAATGCTCTACGGTTCGTGCGGAATGAAGCCATTCGCAGAGATTTGAAGCTGTTAACTATACGGCAGTTCATTCAGTCGAGAAATCAGAGAGTTTTCGAATCAGCGGAAACTCATGATAACCCATTAGTTAGGAAAGCTGTGAATTATTCTATAGACGACCCCAGTCGATTCAGAAGGCCACGTCGCTCTGTTGAGTGAAGGCCCCACGACGCCTGTTAAAATGAACAGTTTGTTCATCAATACCCCAGTCAGGAAGGGGTACACAAGGCCAGAGCGGCATAGAGGTCATTGATCTTTATATCATTACAAAAAACACCTTCAGTTATGAACCACTCGTCCTCCTGACGAAAGATAGTTGAAAGGGTTAGGGAAAAATTTCCAACCTGAAGAAAATGAAGATGACAAACAAGAGAGGGAGTCTGTATTCAAAAATAAATCATCATCACGAAACCACGACTATAACACACGACATCGCGACCAACTAACCTATCCTACTGTTAAAAAGTCAATTATAAATAACACCGTACCTCACAAAATAAAAAATTCTTATTCTAAAACCAATATTCAAAAAACTAATAAGAAAACACATTCTCGAAAAAGATAGACAATTTAAAAAAAATCTGTTAGAGTGAAATAAGTTAGTCTTAGTCAAATTTATCCCAAAGTTGTATCATACTATATTGTAAGTAGTACAATTTTATTGGCTGTATCCAGCACCATTCTGTCATGTAGACACTCCAAACTCAAAAGTCCACGGCCTCCCTGTTATCGGGGGAAGTATAACCGTGAAACGGACTATTTGGGATGCAAACTCCTATAGAGATGCATCATTTTTCGGGTCTTTACGTCGAGTTGATACAGCTCCTCCCGAGTCCACTTCACTACTCCAAACGAGTAGAGTAAAATTGGAACGGCAAACATATTTGTTGCAGCAACTTTGTTCTTCCACGACAGTTCAGATGACCAGATCTTTCGAAGTTTGTGCTGATACTTGCCGCTGAGAGAGTTTTTCACTGCTGTTACCTCTTGTGAGTGGCGTTGTTCCACCCTGAGGTAAGTATACGTCTTTCCGGCATCCAGATGGTGTAAGATGCTTCCATATACGAGCTGCTCCATAGTCCCCGCATCTTCCTCTTTTGAGATGGACCATTGCACATTTGTCTATCCCGAATTTCATACCGATAGCATGCGTGTACTCTTCCACCACCCTCAAGGTCTGATGGAGATCCTTCTCTCCAGAGGCATAAAGTTTAAGATCATCCATATAAAACAAATGGGTGACCTTGTGCCTCCGGTTTCCGGGGATTCCACAGTTATACCCTCGAGTGTTTCTGAGCGCAACGGATAATGGCAATAGTGAGATGCAGAAGAGAAGGGGACTGAGGGAATCACCCTGAAATACACTCCTTCTGAAAGTGAGCCAACCTGTTTGGACTCTTGCTTGACCAGATGTGATGGTGAAGCGACTTCGCCAAAGTGGTATCTGTTGTTCAATGCATCTCACTATTTTGTCGGGTACCGCAAGGCATCTGAGCAAATGCAAGATGGGCTCATGCGAAATTGTATCAAATGCCTTACGGTAATCGAGCCATGCCATAGAGAGGTTACGCTTATATTGCATCGATGAGCAGGTTCTCTTTACATCCAGCGACTCCTCTCTTCGACCCTCTCTGCTCATATATCCGTTCGAACACTCGGTCAACTGCGGTGAGTATTCGTGTGTATAAGATGCTTGTAGACAACTTATAACACGAATTTAAGCATGTTATCGGTCTGTAATTCTTAGGAATCGACAAATCTCCGCTTTTGGGGATAAGAACGGTCCGTTCCTCGACAAACCAATCCGGAATCGGCTGCTCTTCGCCTAACCATGAGTTGAAAAGTCTGGCCAGATGGCGGTGGGTGCTTGGTAGCTTTTTCCACCAATAAGTGTTCAGCCCGAAAACTCAATTTCGGAACTGATAGGCAAAGGCAGTTCTAAACCAGGAAAGCTCTCCCTGAAGCCGCCCCAGTTCGACGGAAAAACTCCTTGGACAAATCACCGCCGACAATTCGAAGCTGCGGCCAGATGGATGCAGGAAAAAAGGCGGTAGCATTAACATTGGCGTTGCATGGAGAAGCAACGAATATTTTGCAAATCCTCACGGCCCAAGAGCAGGAAGATTATGACCAACTTATAAAACATCTAGGCCCACCTAGAGCACGTTTACCATTCACACTAGAAGAACCGCTGCGAGAA